TGCTCCCCTTGCTGCGGCAGCACCAGCGACAGCGCCTTCCAGAGATACGGCCCATAGAAAGGCGCGTTGCGTTTGTTTGTGTGCAGCAAGCAGCTGGAAGCAACTGCTGCTGCTGCTGCTGGGTCTTGCTGCTGCAGCTGGCGAGTCAGCAGCAGCTCCTTCAGCAGCAGCACGGCCAGCAGCTCCTCCGGGTTGCACGGGGTTTCCTGCTGCAGCTGCTGCCTGCTGCTGCTGCTGCGGCGCTGCAGCACGCACTTTTCGCGTATGGCCTGCGGCGCGTCTGCTGTCGACAGCAGCAGCAGCCGCGGCAGCTGCAGGAGGGGGGCCCCCCGGGCCACTTCTTCAGCAACAAGGGCCCCACTTTGTGTCTCTTTGCTGCAGCGGGGCCCCCGCTGCAGCCACAGCTCCAGCGGGTCTTTGGGGGGGGGCCCCCCTGGGGCCCCCGGGGCCCCCGGGGCCCCGTGCTGCTGCACTACGTGCAGCACTAAACCCTCAAGTGCTGCAGCAGAAGGCAACAGCCACTCGCCCCCAGGCCCCAGCTGCTTCTGGAGAGGCATGCCGGGGATGGGCCCCCTTCGAGCTGCTGCTGCTGCTGCTGCTGCTGCTGCTTCTGTGGGTGCTGCTGATTGGGCCTCAGTCCCACTCTTGAGAGCTGCTTCTTCGCTTTCTGGTTCAAATGTCGCTTGCTGCTGCTGCTGCTGCTGCTGCTGCGGGTGCTCGTGCTGCTTCTCGTGCTGCTGCTGCGGGCGCATCAGGTGCTGCGTGCGGTGCCGTAGGAAAGAGGGGTCCTGGAGAATGATGACAGCAGCAGTTGCTGCAGCAGCAAACATGATGAGCAGCAGCAGCAGCACGGCGTAGTGGCCCCTTTTAAAGGCTGTCTTAGCAGCTTCCATGTCTGCAGCAAAAGCAGAGGGGCCCCCCGGATAAGTGAGAGCCACATGTTCTTCCGGATCACAAGAATCTGGAAAAGTAATGCCAGCAGCAGCAGCAGCAGGAGCTGCTGCTGCTGCTGCTGCTGCTGGCTGTGCCTTTGGGGCCTTGGCTGCTTCCTTCGAGGCGCTGCGGCGTATGCAGCGAGACGTCGCTGCTGTTGCTGCAGCAGCAGCAGCTGTGGCTGCTGTTGCTGCCTCCGTCGCCGCAACAGCAGCAGCGTTCATGCTGCTGCTGCTGCGCTGCCGAATAAGCGCAGCGCCGCCAGACCTCCGGCGGATCAGAACGTCAGCAGCAGCGGGCTTGCTGCTCTGCTGCTGCTGCTGCTGCTGCTGCTGCCTGGGCTCGCCAGCTGCTGCTGCTGCTGCTGAACCCATCTTGCTAAGGCCCACTTTGGGGGGCCCTGGACTCGGAGAAGCCGGTGGGCCCCCCCTTGGCATTTGAGCAGCAGCAAAAGAAGAGTCAAGAGGGTCTTTGCTGCTGTCCCCAGGTGAGCGCAGCAGACGTAGCCGGGACCCTGTAGCTGCTGCTGCCTTTTCGCAGCAACGGGGAAGATGCATTGCTATGTTTGCTGCTGCCGCTGCTGCCGCTGCTGCTGCTGCTGCTGCTGCATGTGCAGGTCCTCGCCTGAGGTCTTCGAGCTGCTGGCTGTTTCGCTGGCCGAGTCCTTCTCTAAAGCCCCTTTGAGTCCACTGTGAAGGGACTTAGCCAAAAAAAGACTAAAAGCTTTGAAAAGAGTGGCGGGGACGCGGGTGAGTAGCAGCAAAAAGTTAAAAAGAAGTCCCGATAGCCTGTGGCAGTAGGCGGGTGGAGGGCTGTAGCAGCTGCGCAGCAGATCAGGGGCCTCAGGCACAAAAAAAGATTCAAAATTAAATGGAGTACAACAAGAACGGGTCCACGGGTTGAGGTGTACGTACACCTCGACGCTGCAGACTCACTCGGTGCCTCCACGCGAAATTCCCGCGAATCTGCCCTTAGGTGCTGCAGCCGCTGTGTTTCGAGTTCAACTTAGACACTTCAAAGCCAAATATTGTACACTATTCGCTAAAACAAATCGAAGAAACGTTTCAAGAAGTGTGAGACAAGGAAGAAGACCAACAGCTACCTGCCGACTGGCGTCAGCGGGAGGCTCCAGGGCCCACGGTGTGTACAGACAGCCCAGCGGTGGTGGTCCTGCGTCGAGCGTGCTCATTTTCCACGAGTAACACCATCATAAATACATTTTAGCTTAATCAATTCAAGATCTTGATGATTAATTTCACTTTTTTCCCCTTCGTGCTCACTAAGACAGGGCCTGCTTAGCCTGCAGCAGTTAAAGCCCAAGCTGCTGGCTGGCTGCCCACTGCAGCTGGGCAGCCAAGTCTATTGGAAGATCCTGAAAGGATTTAATGTTTCTTTTACCAAACTTGATTTAATTTAATCCAAAGAACTGCATTTGAGTCGCCTCTAGACGGCTGCGGCCTGGCCTGGACACCTGGGAAGTCTGAAAGATTCAACTTGGCGGGCCCCAGAGTTGAAGCCACGCGGCGCTGGGCAGCTACTGCTGGGTCTGACTTCACCAGATTCAAAACTTAAAAGATATTAGGCCACAGTCCCCCTGCAGCCAGCAAAGACAGGCTTTTATAATTCAAAGAGCAGCAGAGCCTCCAGTCTGCAGCCGCCTCACTACAGGCTTCTGCCATTATTGGAACAAAATTCATGTCTCAGAACTAAAACGTAGTTCAGGGCTTCCAGGGGTTGCTCTAAGATTTATAAAAAGGGACCTAATGGACTCCGCAGGCCACTAGTTGCTGCATTCTTCCGAATTCGCGAAATTTCAAAGAGTTCAAAACTGGGCAGCCCAAGCCAGCGGCAGGGGTGTCCTCCCAAAGACAAGATAGCGGGGAAATGGATGGGGATCACGTGGTAGTGTGTCAAGGGGCTTCGGGACCTTTGTGCGTCGCCTCTGCCTCTCCACTAAACACCAAACTCAACGAAGCATCCCTGAGAAACACCGCAGGTCTTTTTCCTGTATTTCTTAAGCACAAATCGAACAAAAAGCATTCAACAAAGATGACCCAGGGTGCGCCGCTTGGCTGTCGGTGCAGGTCTTCTGTGCCCCTCCCCAGGCGCATATCAGCTGCATGGTGCATTATCTCATACACTTATTCTCCTACACTGGCCAGCCCTGACGTCCAAATGTGACACTCTGCATTCCGCCTAGGCTGCATTCTTATGTTACAAAGTTGGGCTCTTTTTGTCCCCATCTAGCCTACAATACAAAGAAAGCAAAAGCTTCAACTGTACTTCGTTTCGGCCAACAGACTTCGTCATTCTGGCTCCTATATTGCACACGCAAAGCGTCGCTGGGGTGTCATCCCATTTCGCATGCGGAGCAGGCTTGCAAGGTCTCTGACGTAATGAGGATTGCAACGTTGCCGATGGTGACATTGTCTGTCATGGGCTGCATCCACATGACTCTTCGTGACGCAACATGCTGCAGAACTCCTGACCTAGGCTAAACCTAAGTTACTGCGGCAAGACGCCTTTAGCATTATTTTGTGACTTGACTTGCCCGCTCTGGGCAAAGTACTAGCGGGCTACGGTGGAGGTGTTCATCACAGTAAGGCTTTGGATATAAGAGAATCGGGGAAGTTCGGAAGAGCTTCTACAGCCCAAGACTACTGGGTTCGACTCGTAACTTCCTGCTGTCCTCCAGTGGCAGCGCTTCGTGAAATTCAGAATAGACAGAAAGCATGTGGCTTTTTTTCAATACCTTAAGAATATCCATATTTTTGAGCGGCCAGTGATACTGATTGCCAGTTTGACTAGTAGCTGCCCATGACTTCCCACATGACATATGGGCATTTGCTCTCGAGACAGTGGTAATTTGACTTAAAGGTTGGTTTCAAATTTAAGATGAGTAAATATGAAAGGACGTCGAAGAGCGTCTAGCTTCTCCTGTATAGGTCATTTCAACTTTTTAGGGGAGTTATATCATTGCGCCCTTATTCATGCGTTTGGTGACATTCAAACGTTGTCTTCGAAGATCTACATATGGATCCAAGCTCCACATTCGGATTCTGCCCAATGTTGCGCAACATACTCAGCTTTTGCCAACCACAGTTCCAATGCAGATTGTTTGCTCCACCTTGAGGCGTCCACTTGTTATTACTCTACATGTATACATGTAGTGCGCAGGCACTAGAATTGGGCTCGCAGCTAGCCAGCCCGGTTAGCTAGCCGGTGATAGATGAGCGACCAAAAAGCTAAATGAGCGCAGACACTACTTGCGAATAACGGATTCAGGCAATTTATTGAGAAGATAGCAGGTTTAAACTAGAAGCGTCTGCAAATATCCTAAAATTGGGACTGGCGCTAACGCCAGTACCGTGCGCAGGCACTACAGTAGGACTTGCTTGTAGCGCACAGGCACTACAATAGGGCTTGCTGGTGACCTATAGAAGATAGCTAGCTAGCGACCTACAAGGGATCGCAACACTGGAGGAGGGCAGGACCCTCTTACTAGGATCAAAGGCAATTTGTCTGCGAATTAACACTAGAGGTGCCTGAAAATGCGTGGAGACTGGGGCTGGCGATAGCGCCGGCACCTGTGCAGGCCTCCTCCCCACAGGGCCTAGGAGGCGAGCACCCCGAGTGGGGCGGATTTGAGGATAACAGATTTTGGGAAACTAGGAATAACTGTATTTCGATATGTATAGGCTACTGTTTCAAGGAAATGGACCAACGTTAGGTGCCGATCATAGGCCCCTGGTCGAGGGGGCAGGTAGCAGCGTAGCCGTAGCAGTAGGCGCTGTGCACTACACGAAGCATCTGCTCCAGTCTGCGGTTAAGCCTTTCAGTTTGATCGTCGCTTTGCGGATGGTAGGACGAGGACGTGCACCGTTCGATGTTAAAGCGGTGACATAGTTGTCGCCAAAGGTCTGACTGGAAACGGGGGTTGCGATCCGATATGCGTGGCTCTGGAAATCCGTGGTAGCGGATAAGACGGTTCGCGAGAAGCTCCACGGTGTCTGCTGCTGTGAATGACCTTTTTGCGGGAACGAAATGAGCCATCTTGCTGAGGGAGTCGAACATCACGAGAATCGAGTCGTGCCCTGTCGTCGTAAGAGGAAGATCTGTGCTAAAATCGAGGCTCTCATGTGCCCGCCAACGCGAAGGGATGAGTAGCTGTTGAAGAAGGCCTGCAGGTTTATGGCTGAGAGACTTACACGCACGACAGTGAGTAGAGGATTCAGATTCAACATACGCAGTAGTGTAAGCACGCATCCCTGGCCACTAGTAGTGCTTGCTCAGAGTCGTGAAGGTCTTCTTTTGGCCTCGATGGCCGGCTGTCCCATGGTCATGATGTGAATGAAAGGCATGCGTAAGGAACTCAGGGAATTGTGGAACACAGATTCGCCATAGCCCATGAATACAAATGTGCAAGTAGGGCGGCACACAGCGAAAGATGACGTAACGATTGCGAAACTCTACCTGTACAGCGTCTCCTGGTTGTTTTGCAGCGATTTCGTAGGGAGCGGAGAAAACAGGACACTTCGAGTAGGCTTGCGGCCATTCGGTCGCCTCAGGAGGGTCAGCTCGTTTCCTCCTCGCAGGTGTAGGATGTTCCGCCTCTGGATTGGGCTCAGGCGGCGGAGTTGAAGGTGGTGATGTCAAGGTGCGTTGTCTGCTTCGTCGCAAACGAGTGCCGGAGAGCTCCCGGTAGTTAGCAGGCCGACAACGAGAGCGAGGAACCGCGCGCGTTTGTTCTACTGCAAGCATCAATGGTGTCGTTAGTGTGTCGTGCGAGCAGGTGTTAGAGAGAGCGGGACGGCGAGACAAGGCATCAGCCACCTGATTTCGCGTTGCTTGAACATAAATGATGTGCAAATCCGGGAACTCGGCCAGGAAATCTAACCACCGAGCGGTGCGTCCGCGCAGAGGCTTCGATGCTTGGAGTCGTTGGAGGTGCGTAAGAGCTTGGTGATCTGTATGAGCTGTAACTTTGGCGACACGGAGCAGATGAGACCACTTGTCCAGAACCGTGACCAACGGTAAGAGTTCTTGGTCGTTGATTGAGTATCTCTGTTGTGTGGGGTTCATAACTTGGCTGGGAAGACCGATAGGCTTGCCTTCTTGTTCTAGAACCGCTCTGATCGCATAACCAGAGGCATACGTGTATAAGTCGAAGGGCTTCGTGGTGTCAGGAACTTGTAATGTGGTGAAATCGATTAAGTGCTGTTTGAGTTGCTGCACCATCTTTGTGTGAAGTTCTGCCCATTTGAAACTAACGTCTTTACGTGTAAGATCAACCAGAGGCCGCGCAACGTCGGCATAATCAGGTCCCATGAACATGCGACAGTAATTTATAGTGCCGAGGCACTTGCGTTTCATTTTCCAGCACCTCTGGCCAGTGCCGGATAGCTTCGATTTTGTCTTCTGCAGGTTTGTTGCCTTC